TTTCGTCCGATGCTTTCGTACCCGTGCCGATGCATGTTGATCCAATACTTACGTACACGTGCTGCCTCAAGAAACTGACTCTTGAAATGAGTAAAATGTACTTCAAAGCCATACACAGCAGTCCATTCAAATGTCTGAAACGGACATATAGAAGTCGCACTAGATAGGCCAATTAAATGTGTGGAACGGACGTGCAAGTTACAGAAGATTGACCATTTTACTGTGTGGAACGGACATGCAAACCGCAAAAAACTGGCCCTAAAAACGTGCGAAAAGAATTTATGAGTCAAACAAAACTAGCTGGATTTGAAAAATGAGGAACAAGCCTCACACAAAACTTCTTCAAGTCACAAAAAATTGCTCTTTCATGACTACTACGTTTCATGTGTGCTTGCGCATGTATAGTGCTTCGGATATCGGATCAACCGCTTCCTCACTACGTACGACTGATCCTTGAGGAACTTGTGTCTAATGTTTCTGTTTCTCCCTTTATTTTAGCACATATTGCCCATATTCTACAACTGACACTTTGTTCGACCCCATGCCTCTTCTACCTAACCTTAGTGTACCCTGATCTCGAGATTATTGGGCACGTCTCAGAGAGCACGGTACTCTAGCTCTTTTTATAATCCCCTTAGCAGTCACATCTTGAAATGCTATAATTGAGTGCTCTAGGGATAAAATTCGAAGACCGTCCCACCCGTCCATGCACAAGTGCACCACCTCCATGTCATCCTACGGGAGTGCTGACCGTGTCAATGAACATTACACAAACACACACAAGTTTTAAAATTACGTGTTTGCCTAAATCGCAAGTTAACCAGGAATTTTAAAAGCAAAGACTATACCACAAAAATTTATCATATCTTTATAAGAGAAAGAGATTCGGATGCCAGCTCCATCGTCTGTTAATAACACAGCGTTCAGTGCAGAAGAAGTTCAGTCCTAGGAACACAAATACAATCAATTAGTCAAGTAAACTCCACTGTCGGGTATGAAAACGGAAAACAAGTAAATGAGACATGAAATGAACGCTAGTAAACGACCTATCTATTTGCTATTTTAAGAGGAAAGGAGCAAAAAGCGGTATTCAGACTAGGCTTCTGTTGGAATATATAAATTAAGTGATTCTAAAATTCGTAGATCAGTAACACCTGATGTGAAAGCAAGAACTTTAAAATCACTATCAGATACAGGGGTGTTGCACTTGTAATTTTCGAGGCTAATTTTGCTTTGAACATTGCGACCAGTTAAATCAGAAATGCGATTCTGGTTGCAGACTAGTTAATCGCTTGTTGTCCACCATATACTCCCTGTACATCCGTCTACAGAACGAACCCCATCACCGAATTTCAACACCATCGAATCATCACACCCACACCGAATCACCACACCCACACCGAATCATCACACACACACCGAATCACCACACCCACACCGAACCACCACACCCACATTGAACCACCACACCCACACCGAACCACCACACCCACACCGAATCTTCACGTACCCCGGCCATCAACTGTGCCTCATAAATTTTGGTACAGAGAAACTAAATCCAGTTGATTGTAAATGATATGAATGTCGAAAAAATTGCAAATATTACTTACTGTTAGGAAATACTGCGTTATAAAAGTAATTAATATTTGAATACTTCATGAACGGTTTCTATGAGAACACAGAAGGAGACCGCGCTAGCAGTTAGATGGAGGTTAATCGAATTCAGAGAACATTTTTGGACGCTCTAGGTACTTCAAATGCAATGTTTTATTCATAATAGATTAAATAATTTCAGTTGATCCAGTTTAATTTTTTAAAATATATTTGTGTTCACTCAAGTTCTTTACTCATTTCAGCATTTATCCGTGAATTACCATTCTTTACTGTTTTGTAGAAAATACTTCAAAGCAGAAGTTTTTGTCTTGAAGGAATCCTTACATGAGAAGTTGACTGCATGCGACTCTACCTCGTCCCTTGATATGGTCGTTATCAGCAGTGAATAACAGGACATGCAGTCATCAAAAACCGCATGCCGACTTATTTTTATCTGCACGTGTGCTGAGCAAGAAGATAATTGGTTGGGAATTCTAATCACTAAACAACACAAACGATATAATTTGTCAAAAATTGTTATCTCTACATGAACAGGGAAAAAATATTTTGTCACGTACTTCCTAGAATCGTCGAATTAGAACCAGGACATTTATTTATATATGAACCTTAGAAAAAACTAGCACAAAATTCGTGTCACGGACAAACTATAATTCATGAAGTTCATGACGAATTATAATTTCTATGAATTNGCGTTGCAGGCTGGAGTTACAATGTACCATTCCCCCGAAGCCTTCGTACAATCGATGCACAGACCGTAGGCACATGATTGTGTCCCTTCCTCCGCGGCACAGTCAACGATGTTGTCTAGAAATCCAGCGTCGCAACCGTCAGCATAGATTGGTGAGTACGGATCGCACATGGCACCTGTACATTTGCATGTGGTGGCAGAACTAAGTGGCACGCACGTCGCTAGCCCAGGAGAAAACTCTTCGCACACCTGCAGCCAAATTGAGTAATTTAGCACAAGAGAAAACAACACGAAACATGCTATTGATGAAATAGTTAAATTTTTGCACGGTGGTGCTTCAGTCTCAACTATTTTTCACTTGGATTGGTGCTAACGTCTTATCAGTTTCACTCCGAAAAATTATATTGATTTATTCATATTTACCAAATAGTGACGTACTTGTGTTGCATTGTATAGATATTAAGTCGTATACACTAAATAGTAATATTGATTAGGATTTTCATTAGAAGAGATGGAAACTATCCTATGAAATTTTAAATTTGGAAAAAATCCTCATTATTCCATTATTCATCATATGAATAAATATTTTACACTCAATCAGTTTAAACTCAAAGAAGAATAAACTTAGGGCATGACAATTAATGACATCACGGTAGGAAGATGCAAATCAGTTCGTAGTCAGTAATTTTTATACAGAATGTTTGCAACGCTTTTCAGGCTGCGCTTGCTCGGTCAAATAAACAGTAGCTAAGTCAACAGCTATGATTCATATACAACGGCCCCACTAACAAGGCAAGGCCCATTTCTTTCAAAATTAAAGAAAGCGAAGAAAATCTTTATCTATGTCTGCCCTCTGTTTTGTAACGACTCGTTTTGTGACGACTCATAATGTGACGACTCGTTTTGTGACGACTCATAATGTGGCGACTCGTTTTGTGACGACTCGTTTTGTGATGACTCGTTTTGTGGGGACTCGTTTTGTGACGACTCGTTTTGTGACAACTCGTTCAGAAGTAGCTTACTGCATGTCATGTACTTTTATGTGAGACTGTTTTTCAATTAGGGCGCACCACAGGACAATTTGCTTCAAACTAATGAATTCAACAAAAAAAGTGTTTAATGTCAAATCAGAATGCTCGCTGTATTCCGACGTCGGGGATGCTAATTAAGAGCAAATTTGGAGAAAGTAAATTTGGCAAATTTGGAGAAAGTGGGGATACCAAAAATTGGAGAAAGCAAAGCTCAAAATTGCGGCACTCCCCAAGCGATCCATTTTGTGGGTATTCATTAAACAAGCGTGGTGCGGAGGCCAATGGTTATATTATACTTGTTTGAGTGCTGGCTAATATAATATTAGTGTGGCATGTTGTACAGCTATTATTGCCCGCTTGATACGAAGAAAAAACAAATAGGATGAGGCTATTTCGATGTTCTTGATATAACCATGCAGGTCCAAATGTTTGCTGACAATGTTTGCAATATATGGCTCTGTAGTATGTAGACATTCTTGGTGATAAAATCAATACCTCTCCCGTTACTACACATCTCAATATGACGAAATCAAGCAACTGCAAGCAGGCAGGCAGACTGTTTCCAGTTTTAATAATTTTTTTGCTCCTGCCAGAATAGTTTGATATCTACATGGGATTAATTTCTCTTAAGAATCATCAAGCAAGCACTACTATAAATATGACCCACACACCCAGAGAAATGACAGATTTTGTCCAAGTTTCGATGCACTTCCTCGTAATTGTGTGGGTCATCCTGACAGAGTTTGCTTATACAGAAGTAAAAAGAGCGTATCAGCGCTACGTTCGCTCTCTGCCCAAGCTTTAGATAAGAGAGTGTGTCACTATCAGGACAAAATCAACAATTATTTTTTGTGTGCACTTTGCTGTTGGTTGCTTTTTCGTACAGGATGCAACATTGATGCGATATAATCACGGTTTGTGTCAATGATAACATGCAATCTTAGCGTCTGCCTAATACTTAATGACATTTGAAAGGTGCATTATAAAAATATGTATTAATACACGAAAGTGTTAGCACGAATTCGGTACTGAATTAAGTATAACCGAGAACAATTATGTACAATTCAGTCCCTCAAGTTGATGTGAGAGGATTCCCATTAATTAATGTAGCATTTTGGCTCACGTAATCGTCGTCGCATTCGTTCCAGGGGAAAGTAACGGCAGGGCTGGCCGAGGTGTCACAGTAGACAGGCTGCTTGCACGACGCGCAAAAATCACCTTGAATGGTAATCCCGTTTGTGGAGCAGAAACTTCCCACTACCGGCAAATCTCTGTGGAAAAAGATATGTGAGCCTAATTTAAGATTTTTTATTACAGGATTCGAAGGTGGAAAAGTAATATAGTATTTTCATTGCCCCAATTTTCGCCATTGTTTTTAGATATGAACGCGCCACCGAATTCAACAAAATTGAAAACATTTTGAGCTAGGGTTCGTTTTATAGAGGAATGGAAAGATGAGCTTAATGATAAATATGCCAGACAGAATTTTCATGGACAGCAGGAAGAATAATTGAACCTCCCAAATAGTCTCATATAATTATTTGATAGGAATAGGAATTCACGAATAATTCCAAATATAAATAAAAGCATGATTTGAGGGAGATTTGAATCAAGGGCGTGATTTGGATTCGGGGCGGAGTCGAACAGCGACGTGAGGCATGCGCTAGGATTTTTAATTAAGGAGTGGGGAGAACCACGAGCGAGTCCAGTACGAGGGTTCCGTGGCAATCGGCCGTATTGCGTGCCTTTTGGATGGCGCGACCAAACTAAGGGTCGGGGCAGCGTTGAAATGAGTTGGACTTCGACGAGCAAACTGCTTACCACGAGAATTGAGAGCCACGCTACGAGGTGTGACGAAGCAAGGTCATAACCGAGTGAACCAATTTCTACGAGACCTGACGACATAGATTATCACCGAGTAAACCAATTGCTACGAGATCTGACGACGCAAGATTGGGTGACGGGATCTCGAAGATAACCGCAGACATCAAGACATGACGTCCCTTCAGGGAATTATTGAGAGATCCGACACCCTTTTGGAGAATCTTTCACACCTCGAGTATCGAAAAAACTTCAAACACTTCCGACTCCAGCCGGCTACGAAACTAGTCACGAATGGGATTACACCGCAATCAAGCCTTAGCACAGCAGTATTCAAGAGATCTCATCGAGGGACGGTTAGCCCTGACCTGTGAGGGTCCCCGCAAGACTGTCTGAAGCAAACTGCTGTACTGCTCTCCTCAAATAGCCCATCTTAGAATTTTGAACTAGGATTGCTGTTATTTGCTTTGAGAGTGGGGTCTGAATACTATTCAGGATCAGATTTATGATTATTGTATCCTCGCCATTGTTCTGTCGGATATCTAGTATAATCTAGGTCTAAGCTAGTACTTTCTGCTACTAAGGACTGTGTATAAAGTGCTATCACCGTGTTCCCGTTCTGTAATAGGACAGATATTCTATAATATAGGAACTGTTGAGTTCTTCCCAGTTGTCATTTCTATCCTCCCGTCTTGAATAGTCACTGGTCAGTCAAGAATCTAATCATAAGCGCCGCTAAAGTAAACCACTCGACTACCAACCTGACAAATGAAATGTGATAAATCTTAGACATATAACGTTGCGTAAAACCTGAGGAAACGAGGATAATCTGTCGTAAGAGGACGTTATCTCACAAAGTAGGGAAGGAAATTCAATAAAGAGAAACTGAGACCCGGATAAGAAATAAATGAAATTAAATCTTGTACTTTTTTCTAATCATATTTATTCAAACTTTGTATTCTACTTCATAACATAACATAGTGATGTCGGCGCTGAAGTGTAGGCCTGATGTGGCCTGTCGCCGATTCTTTTCCTTTTCGTGCCTTGTTCATAGATCTAAACTCGTGTCATTTGACCGGATCTTTTCATGACTGGCGATAATTGTTTACAGATACAGAGCTGCGTGATGAACTGAACATGAAAAAATTTATCCAACCAGGTTGATAAAAATGAGCCTATTTCGATCTTTAGTGGACGAAATCAGGAAGTAAGGATGATTGCTGCAAATAACAGGTGTTGGATCGAATAACAATGAACATTTTGATGCAAATATATGATAATAATAATAATAATAATAATAATAATAATAATAATAATAATAATAATAATAATAATAATAATAATAATAATAATAATAATAATAATAAATTCTAGTGTTGTGGAATAGTATCGACTATATATAAATTAAGACTGCCATCGGAATGAAATCCAAAAATGAAATTAAATGATTCCAGTATGAGAGAAATTTTTTATTTTTTAGCTAATTTAATCTGCATTGAAATAATCGCTAATAAGTGAATGACATCTCTGGCTTTAGTTTTAACTGATCAGAAAAATCAATGAAAAATCCAACCGGAAATTTTTTATGGCCTCTCATGTATTTCGCATACTTTGATCAGATGCCAGAACAATTTTGTTAATCCAAGTGCCTCAATAAATCTTATCACTAACATGAGCGCAGGGATTAGAAATTCTGCAGTCCGGATTTAAGTTAATGCTCGCAAGATTAGCCTCATCCATTTAGTAAAACTGCCTTTTGTTCGTCCTAATTCTTGTTGCGTTGCTCGTTAAAGGTGGAAACGAATGTAATTTTTATTTACGATCAATATTAGGCTAAATATTTGCCGATATTTCTGGTAGACTCAATGCTAGCTGAGTCTTTCACCTTGCGTAAATCCTATTTTAAACAACTGCGTCAGAAACATTCATAAAATTTAGCTACTAAGATGAACATTAAAAAAATTTAATTTTATTGTTGTCTTTTTCACGTTTAATATATTATTTTATTTATTCAAGGTAGAATAAAAGCAGGAATCCTGGCAGTATGAGTCCGAGCCACGGCTGGATAGTGGTCGGCCTCTGCGTCCTCCACAGCTGCTGTGGTGATTTATGGAAGACGCAGTCCTTGATGGTAGGATTTATGGAAGACGCAGTCCTTGAAGGTAGGATTTATGGATGACGCAGTTCTTGAAGGTAGGATTTATGGAAGACGCAGTCATTGAAGGTAGGATTTAAAGAAGACGCAGTCATGAAGGTAGGATTTATGGAAGATGCAGTCATGAAGGTACGATTTATGGAAGACTCAGTCATGAAGGTAGGGTTTATGGAAGGCGCAGTCATGAAGGGAGGATTCATGGAAGACGCAGTCCTTGAAGGTTGGATTTATGGAAGACGCAGCAATGAAGGTAGGATTTATGGAAACGCAGCCCTCAATTGATGGTAGGATTCATGGAAGACGCAGTCCTTGGAGGTAGGATTTTGGGAAGACGCAGTCCTTGATGGTAGGATTTATGGAAGACGCAATCCTTGATGGTAGGATTTTGGAAAGACGCAGTCCTTGATGGTAGGATTTATGGAAGACGCAGTCATGAAGGTAGGATTTAGGTAAGACGCAGTCCTTTATGATAGGATTTAGGGAACACGCAGTTTCTGAAATTAGGATTTACGGAAGGCGCAGTCCTTTATGGTAAAACTTAGGGAAGACGCAGTTCCAGAGACTCAGCTAGCATTGAGTCTACCAGAATATCTGCAAATATATAGCCTAATATTAATGGAAATTAGAAATAAATGCCTTCCATTTATTCATTTAACGAATAACGGAATCACGAGTACCGTAACAAGATAAGTTCGAACAAAAGTCGGTTTTACTAAATGGATGAGGCTAATTTTGCAAGCATTAAACTTAAATCCGGCCTGCTATATTTCTAATCCCTGCCGTCATGCTAGTAATGAGAGTTGCTGAGGCACTGCGATTATCGAAATTGTTCTGCATAAGATCAAAACATTTTAAATATATTTATATGAGAGGTCATCAAAAATCTCTGATCCGATTTTTCATTGATTTTTTTGATCAGTTAGAACAAAAGCCAGAGATGTCATTCACTTATTCATTGTTACTTCAATGCAGATTAAATTATCCATGAAATTAAAAAAATCTCTCATACTGGAATTATTCTATTTTATCAAGCTTTTCCCTTAACAAGTGCATGCGATAATGCCTGCAGCATGACACCTGCGAATTGTTCTGCTCCGACCCCAGTGAAGAGGGAAATGCAGCAATGAATTTACCTCAAAACATGTATAAATACATGTTTTCATGTCATATTATTTCATAGTGATGTCGGCGCTGAAGAATAGGCCTGCATGATGTGGCCTGTCGCTGATTCTATATAGTTTCGTGACTTGTCCACAGGAGGTCTAAAAACAGGTCCTTCGACCGGATCTTTTCTAAACTGGCGACAGTTTGAAATAACTACTGGACTTCCAATTGGTTCGATATGGTGTTAGGCATTTCAAGTCAGAATATATATTTCTACATGACTTTATCTAGTCTTTTCATGAACGCGCTTGTACTCGGAGAGTCAACGATCGATGTAATCGGAGACATATTTCAGTAAGCGAATCTCGAGAAGTGAAGCATGGGCTCAGTTATATACAGTACCGATGTACGGCATTTTGAGACCCGCAAGATTTAAATATTCTTATTTGTGTCCAGAGAGCATAAAAGTTGATCAAATGTTAATTAGTTGGTTTTGGGCATTATAAGGTGCTGTTTCAACAGGAAATCTCGACAAATGTGTTAATTAATTAACCGTAAAAGCTATATACCGGTTGCCTCCTTTGTGGCTAAGACAAACCATGTGCTAAATGTGTAGTCTGGGATGGACGTTGCAGTTTGTTGCGAGACATGATATAAAAATTAAAGACTTCCTTCCAACGTGATGTATCGTTTATTTTGGAAAAGTTGAATATGTAAAGATCGAGTTGCTAATGCTGAAATAAAAGTTTTTAAGACACTCAGAGGCTAGGGAGAGGCTGGACTACGGTGTGAAGCAAGTTTATTGTTTCCAGATACGGAGCTGGTGATGAACTGAACATGAAAAAATGTATCCAACCAGGTTGATAAAAATGAGCCTATTTCGATCTTTAGTGGATGAAATTACGAAGTAAGGATGATTGCTGCAAATAACAGGTGTTGGATCAAATAATAATGAACATTTTGATGCAAATATATGATAATAATAATAATGTGGTTCCGCTTATCTGTGTGGAATAAAAC